ATCTTGTAATTACTTGAAGATGATGAGGGTGAGAGAGTAAATATGTTATTTTCGAAACCAAAAAAAAAAAAAAATTTGATGGCATTTTCGTGAATTATATGAACTTGTGGGGTGAATTGGGCAAAATAAAGTTCCAAAAAAAAGGGAGGTTAGTTTTGTGGTTGACTTCAAGTTTCAGGTCAATTCTGCAAAAAGCCCACAATTTTATCTCTCAATACGATATATAGTAGAAGATTCAACTTATCTCTATTTATTCCTTTAAAATAAAAATTGTTATTTTTTTCTATATATTAAGTTAAAAATAGCATTCATGTATTATAAAATACTTTTTCAGTTATAACTTTTATGACTAAATAAAAAATATTTTTTAATAAAAATATAATCACATCTTTTTGTACATATATAATAGTATTTTAAATTATAATTTACACAATATTATAGTTTTATGAAATTATGCAAAACTAAAATATTCAAGTTAAGTTTTCAACTCATTAATTAAATGTACTAGTTGTAGGATAAAAATAAAATATTTCCAAAAAAAAAAATATTTCCGAAATGTTCTATTTATAAACAAAAAAGAAATACATCAAAAACAACTTTATTTTTTCTGTATATTTTTTTAAAAAAATAAGAAAAAAGATTGTGTTACGAGATTGTGTTGTTCGAATTTACGGATCTTAATTTCCGACCTGAATCTTGTTTGTCTTGCGAGATATTACATTGATGTTTGTGAAAAGTTTGTTTTGGGTCAATATCCTATGTTGCTATAGGTTGTTATATTTGTTCTAATATAACAAATTGTGATATTTAATAAACATACAGTATGTTTCTTGGTATTACAGAAAAAGAACACTGGTTCGATACGTACAATTTCTACTCGTCTCGTCGTTTCGAGTTTTCCCTGAATGATATCTTTGACAAAGACGGCGAATATCTGATAAACGGGGAGCTCACAATCGTTGCCGAGGTGGAGGTTCTTGAAGTTGTTGGCAAATTAGATGTAACAGAGGTGACTTCAACAATAATGGAAACCATGGATGTTAATGGCTTTCAACTCCCATCTTCACAGGTTAGAAACTCGAGTGTTACAAACTTTGTGTGTCGATATTTCAGCCATGAGTGACATCATTATGTGTTCTACTTTATTCTTGTGCTTTTGTTCTGCCTACTTAACTTGTTCACTGGATATTTATTCTACTTTATACTTGTGTAATTTCATCTCAGGTGGGTTTTATGAGCTATTTGTTTGAAAGACACCCTGAGATTGCATCTGAATTCCGTTCAAAGAATCCAAGTCTTAGGGCAGGCTTCATGAGTTTGCTGTTTAGTCTGATTGAGTCTCTGCGCCATTCGCCTTACAAGCTCGACAAGGACGATCTAGCAGTGGCACGTGCTGCATTAGGATCCATGACTGAAGCTGGATTTAAGTTGGATTGGTTGGAGAAGAAACTTGATGGGATGACAGAAAAGAAGGAGAAAGAAGAGGCTGGTGAGACTCGGATTCAAGAAATTGAGAATGAGCTGAAAGACTTGAAACAGAAGTGCTCAGATCTCGAAGCTGAACTGGAGAAGGAGAAATCTGAAGTTTTGGCTGTAAAAGCACCAATATCATTCAAAGATGTTATTTAAATGTTCTTGAGCTCCTTAGGGACTCGCAGTCTTGATTCTTTTTTTCGTTCTGCTTGGTGTTCTTTTGTGTTCGTTTGCAGTCTTGGTTCTGCCATGTTATTTGGATTAAGAAAGTCAACTTTGTTAGATGGAGTTCCGCTTCTTAACATCTCTTGCGTTATAGTATTATCTTACAATATTATGTCTTGATTTAACAGAATTTTTTATGTAGTCCGGTGTTTTTATTCTACTTTTTTTTTTTCTGGTTGTCGTCTTAAATTAAGATTTAAAACTTAGGTCCCAAGGAATGGTTTCTATTCCATCCCTTGAATAAGGTGTACAAACGATCTCATTCCTGTTGCTTACACATTATTATGTGACCTGCACAGCTGCACTTGATTTCCATGCCTTATTATATCCTTGTTTCTATGTTTAGTATGATTTATGTGCATTCACTGGTCTAACGTTGCAAAGGAGGTTGCTGAAGCCAAAAGATTGTTCAATATTGGCAACTAGTGATTATATAATCAACAAGTATTATATGATCAAACTGTATTCATACGGTCATACCGAAGATCTGAGCCACATGGTCCATATTCCATAACATGATCAAATCATCAAAAGGCCGTTAACTGTAGAAATGTAGGTTTTATATTCACAACACTACTAGTTGCATCTTGATTCTATGAATCAATGTACACATGTTCATAACAGATCAATATTTACAAAAGTAGATTAATCAGTTCATCGCTAGAATTATGACATTTAAAAAGTCGAGGAAAATAGAGCCTATCTCGAAAACGTACGAGTCAAGGCTGTTCCCATTCCTCGTGGTAAATTTAAACGTTTGACCTTTTACTACATAGAGTTCCATTGGACATTGTAAAAAATGTTTCAACTCCACATTGGAAACCATAAATTTTCAGTTTTGGTAATGCTGCTCGAGATTGTTGTTTGGCTGCCATTAAATAGTCTCTAAGATTTTTTCCTCTCTTCACATTTCTGCTAATCTAGTTGCGGAGGAGTCTTTATCAAGAATCATGGAGAAGCAACTTAAAAAGAAGTTCACTTGGAAAATGAATAATGTTTCTTTTTCACAGTTGGTGAAAATTTATTCTGATCAATTCCTAGTCGGTGGATGCAAATGGTATGGATATAAAGTGTTTTCGCCAATCTATATGTAGATTTAGGTAATAATACCTTTCCTCAGTATTGTTACTGAATACTTCCTTTACTTTTTGTGTTTCCTGCAGGCGTCTTTGTGCTCGTCTCAGTCCCGAGTGCCCTTCCTTGGATTTGATTTTGGAAGTTGCTGAATATGGATCATTGGATTGTGGATGGAGAAGGCACGCACGATTTTCCCTTTATCCAGTAGAACAGAATTTATTTAACGTTTCTGAACATTATGGTTAGTATTTCTTCCCAATGCTCTGTTTGCAAGGGTTCCTATGTCCATTTTATTTTCAATAACAGTATCATAATCTTTCTATAGTGGATCTTATTTGTTATACGATATTTAACATTGTTACCGGCAATATTCGAGAATCCTTAGAGGTGTCTCCAACCCAACTCAACATTGTACTCCAAAACGGGATATAAGGAATTATGAATAGAAAAACACCCCAATCCAATTCAATTATATTCTATTATAGAATTTATTCCATAAATTTAATAATATATTTTTTTTCTTATTCATTACTCCAACTATGGATTGAGATATGGAATAGGATTAGAGTATTTTTTACTGCCTCCATTTTAGTGGAAAAAAAAGAAATATTACATTGGAGATCTCTAACTGCACTTTATATGAGTAGACCCATTTTTGAACGCTTAAAAATTCTGGAAAATCTTTATTTTTTAGCACTGCTTATCGGTGCACTGCTTGTTTTGGGACAGGCATGCAATGTTGCATGCACTATTTAATATCTGGTTTATTATATTACAGAAGACGAATGGTGGTTTGATAAGAACTCTTACAGCGAGTTATGTGAAACCTTATTTCCCCTGAAAGAATTCATAGCTGATGACGGCAGACTTCTGATAAACGGGGAGCTCAACATCGTTCTCGAAATAGAGGTTCTTGAAGTTGTTGGCGAAGTAGATGTAACAGAGGTGACTTCAACAATAACAGAAACTATGGATGTTAATTTCTCTCAACTTCACTATTCACAGGTTAAAAATTAAATAATGTGTTATGAACTTTGTATATTGATGATATTTAAGACAACAAAAAACTGCGTATTGATATATGAGACATCGTTATGTGTTCTACTTTATACTTCTGCTATTGTGTTGTATAACTTGTTTACTAGATATTGATTTTAGTTTTGTACTTGTTTGTTTTCATCTCACAGGTGGGTGTAGTGAACCATATGTTTGAAAAACATCCTGAGGTTGCATCTGAATTCCGTTCAAATAACCCAAATCTTAGAACTGGCTTCATGAGTCTGCTACTCAGTCTTGTTGAGACTGTACGCCAGTCGTCCCATGAGCTTCCCAAGGATGATCTAGCTGTTGCATACGCTGCATTGGAGTCCATGACTGAAGCTGGATTTAAGTTGGATTGGTTGGAGAAGAAACTTGATGACCTGTCGAAAATTAAAGAGAAAAAAGAGGCTGGTGAGACTCGGATGCAAGAAATTGAGAATGAGCTGAAAGACTTGAAACTTAAGTACTCAGATCTCGAAGCTGAGTTGGAGAAGGAGAAATCAGAGGTTCTGGCTGCAGAAGAACCAATCTCACTCGATTATTTTATTTAAATGGTCTTGAGCTCTTGGGTACATGGATTTTTTTTTCTGCTTGGTGTTCTGGTGTGGTCTGGTCGGTTTCTCCTTTGGTTTTAAATTATTGTCGTCTTAAATCTCTATTGAGAGACTTAATTAGGTCACAAGTAACTGATGAAGACACTGTTGGGTTTATGTTTCAAATTACTGAACGTTGAATTAAATCAATTTCTCGTTTCGTCTTGCTGAAGCCAAAGTATTGTTCAATATTAACATAGTAAAGTAATACTGGCAACTGAAGATGTTCTACATAAATATGATTAACAAGTATTGTGATCACTGATCAGTGGATATGATCAAACTGTATTCATACCGAAAATTTTGGACCACCTGTGCCGTAACATGATTAAAGAAGGATCAAATCATCAAAAGGCTGTTAAATTTGAAGAAAATGTTGATTATTTGCAGAAAAGTTAAAACGATGATAGATTAGGCATATGTAAATGATCATTTCAAAGTATTTTTACTTGTGGATTTGTGTTTTTTTTTTTTATCAAACTTGTGGATTTGTGTTTCTGTTTTGGATCCACCTAATAAAACAAAATCTCACATCGACTATATGCCAAGATAGTGTCTCTTCTCACACATAACGATTTTAGTCTCTTTGAAGCTAAAGTAAATTGTATATTTTGTAACCATTTTAGTTTGTTTTTTGTTATTTTGTACACTTGCTTCTATTTCCTCTTGAGTTTGTTGTACGTATGCTGCTTATGATAATCTTTCTATTTCCATATTCCTCTTTTGCTTCTTCCTCACACATTCACTTTTGTCTTCATGTCGTTTTGTCACATTAGAAGCTTAGAACCAATCATTTGATTACAACACAAGAAGAGAGGGTTTTTAAGTTCCTGATTCAACGCCTCAGAAGATTCAAGAATCGAGGAGCTGCGTTGTAAACTCTCGCCGGAGCGAGACAAGACATGAAAATCTGAGCTTGAAGCTATGCAGAGACAAAACGGAATGGACTCAGCTGCTTTGTCTAATGCCATCAACGAGGTACAGAAACTGAAATCGAAGCTCTTTGAGACTGAGTCCGAGCTATAAAACTCTAAGTTTGAGGTAAGCTCTTTTGAGAAACAGCCCGAGGAAGAAAGAACAAACAGAAGAGACTCATCATCATCATCACTGATGAAGGAAGCGATGAATCTTTCGAAGCAAGAAATAAACCAATTTTAAGCAGCAAATAAAGAAGCCATG